ACTTTGCTCCTAGACTCGTACACAAACAGCTCACCGCCTATCGTGTTCGGAAATCCGAACGTTGTCTCCCATATAGAAATATCAAAGCGGCGTTCAGCCCACGCACACGCGCACGTGTTTGATGTGTGGGGGGTGCACTCACGTTTTCTGCTTCGCGCGAGATCGGTCATGTTCGTTTTTTTTTATTTGACCCGTGTTGCAAACGACACCACCCATCTTCACTAAAACCAAGCAAAGCAAAAAAACAAAAAAAAAAAAACATCTAGGGATCGATAGTAATAAATATATAGATAAATAAATAGATCGATAAAGTAATAAATATGAATGAAGACGAACGGGTTCTTTCCATGTTGCTTGCTCTGTCATTATTAATTTATGCGCATAAAAACGGGGAGGAAGGGCTTCGTTGGAAGAACAGAGGGCTACTCATACTAAAATAAATAAAAGAGAAAAAGAGAAAAGAGTAAAAAATAAATAAATAGTAAAACATGACGATCTAGGTGAAAACCTATTTCAAATAAAAAACACAGTCTGATACACGTTAAAAATGTACTAGAAGCTCCGCTTCCAGCAGGCAGTCTTTGCATTTCATCGTGATTTAACTGGGTGTTCTCGTAAGACCCGACGTGCTACCGAAACTAGAAAGCTCACATTTTCTGGCACATTCTTAACTTATTTCTGACCATGACTACAATATAAAAACAGAAAAAAGGGCGGTGAAGCACGTGCTCAGAATTACGCTCTTTTTTTGCACTCGCCTTTCCACTTTAGCTTGAACCACTGCAAAGACTGCAGACCCGTGCTCATAGCTGAAGGCTGCACAAATGTTCATGCATCCCGATCATTGTTTAACGGGGCCCTGCAAGGGCTTTTTTACTGGTTTTTAATTTGCTCCGAACCTGAGCGCACTTAACGTAGTAACTTAATGAAACTTTTCTTTTCTCGAATTTCGCTGTATTTTAAAAGTGACAGGCAAATTAAACTACAAGAACAGGCAAAAAATAACCTCCTTCATGACGTCCTTGGTTGCTTGAGTGGCCGTGAACTAAGGGAGGGGTAGTGAGCTCAGCGAGCGGTCAGGGCTGCCGCACTCCGTGTCGACGGCTCAAGAGGGCGCCACTAAAGCATGTCCTGGCTAGGCTGTATGAAGCGGGCAGCCAGGGCGGCTCGCATTACATTTGCTGCGCGATTAAACACTAATTCGGCATGACACTTTATTGGCCACAAACGACAGCAAACACGGGGTAAAGATCAGCTCAGAACGGGAGCCACTTCGCGCTGCCGTACAGCTAAAAGGCAAAACCGCAAGCCAAACCTGCTCGCGGCCTTGGGAACGCTCGGAACCGGTCGGATCCTCCAGTCCACACGACCGCATCGCCGCCGCGTACATCCGGGACCTTTCTACGCTCGCCACTCGTTGATGTCTGATCCCACTACACCTTTCTAGTATGCGCCGCTTTTTCCACCGCTTGATGGCGGGTATGTCGACGGGTCATTTCTTGTTTCCGTACTTTGTAAACTGCATTTGTTTCTTTTCCGGTCTAGAATAGTGAACAAAAACTACTTTTATGAATAATTGAAACCATGCGCGTCACCTATATATTGTATTTCAACAAAAAAGAAGCTTTTAGCGGCTCCGACCAGTAGTAAGCCCAGGACCAAACACGTCCCATATCGCGCGCTTTCGGCACCGCGGGTCGCCCCCGTAGGTGGAGGAGGTTTCCGCGTTGTCCTGTTAAAATATGACGCACTTATGTTTAGTTACTCTTTCCATGCCTGCTGGCTTGCCCGAACCTTAAGAGAAGTGGAAACCGCAAAAAAGTTAGACGCTTAAATAGGCTTACAGGGCCCCTTTAAGGCTTAGAATTCGATTGTGCCTGCCGTCTTTTCGCCGCGGTCCTCGTTAATGGAAAATGCGAAGTAACCTTAGAGGCTCTGTCCCGCTGTGAAATCTTAAGCACAGGAAGGCACCGCGCTTGCGGACTTTCGCCGGGGAGCTATAGGGTCATCAATCGCGGGGAACCTCATTGTAAGCTTGGGCCCCAGAAGCTTTCCTCCGGGAAAGATTGTTTGCCGTCGGGTCGCTCTTGACCCCCTTAAGGCTGGGATAAATGCGGCTGATAGAATCAGGCTTCCCGTGCTGTGCGATACCTCATTAGGCACGGGATAGAGTCCCCAAGACCCCCGGGGGCCGCGGGGCAGAGGCCCGGATATGAGGCCTGTCAAGCGACCTCGATGAGCGCCTGATCGAGGGTGCACTCTAGCAGTCGCCGCGGGAGAACAGCTTTGACGGAAGATGAAAGAGTTGGGCGTCATGATGGACTGTGGACCGGTGGGGTTCGTCAGTCATGAGCTACTGGGCTCCATTGCGGTCACCGAGATAATTGGTTTGCACTAGTTTGCATTAGAGTCACTGGTTTGCACTGTGGCGTGTTGTACGTGTTCCTGTTTAGTGCGTGTTAAGGATCCCGACGTTTGCTAGGTTCATCTTTGTATAATTGGTGATACGGATCTAGACGGGCTCTAAAACAATTTAAACACAGCCCGTGCTGACGACTATGCATGAACGCCTCCTAAAGATAAAAACAACAACTAAGGATTACCGTAAGCGTAGGTAAAATAGAAAGGTTTGAATGGGGATCAGTTGCCGAGCGCGTTACTGCACCTCGGCTCGAAGCACGTGTAGCGAAAGCTCGCTCTGTAGAACCCAGTGGTCCTGGTTTAAGTCCCCACCCCCGCATGTTTTGATTTGGATGAGCGTCGTACTGGCGTGCGGTCGTGTATCACTACTGCGTGATGCACGTTAAAGACAACCCAGGACAGCAGATGTACTACACTGGCTATATTTCTCATCTACAGGTATAGATATACATCAGACGTCCATGAAAGCTGGCTAACTTCCGGCTGTATAAACCGACATGGTAAGCGGGGTTTGAAAAATTTCAGTTCCTCAGGAAATTTCGTTTCACTGTTGACAAACGACGACAATGAGGTGCAAGCCTGTTGAAGCATAATTCTGAAAACTCCAGACTAGATTTTTCAGAACCATGCTTAGACAGGCTTGCACATTATCGCGACCGTTTGTCAACAGCTAAACGAAATTTTCTAAGGAACCGGAAGTTGTCAAATGCCGCTAACCTATTATTATTACTAAGCTTTGTTTCGTCTTTTACCTGATCTATCATCCCTTAAGTACTGTCGTCTCCTCGATAGTTACTTATCTCATCGGCTGAACTTTGTGCGAGTATCCGGTCGATTATCTGCTCCTTTTTTTATCTACTTCTGGGGTTCCTCAAGGCAGTAACCTCGGTCCTCTGCTGTTCTTGGTTTTTGTAAATGATCTAACTTCCTGTATTAAGCACACGCGGTTTTTGTTATTTGCTGATGATATTAAGTTGTTTACAGCGGTTAAAACGGTTGACGATTGTGAATGTCTTCAGCGCGATATAGATTCTATTTCGGCGTGGTGTTTTTCAAATGACCTACTCTTAAATGAGTCAAAGACGAAAGTTATGTCCTTTTCTAGGAAGCGTGAAATTCTGAGTTTTCCCTATGTATTAGATTCCACCAATATTACTCGCGTTGAGGTCATCCGTGATCTAGGCGTTTTTATGGATCCTGCAATTAATTTCAACCATCACGTGACCACAATTACGAATGCTTCCTTTCGAGTGCTGGGAGCCATTACACGAGTGACACGCGATTTTTCTAAACCACTTTGTATTTTACGTCTGTTTTCTTCACTGGTGCGTAGTCGTGTTGAATATGCCTCAGTTGTCTGGAACTGTATTGGAGTGACGAATTCAGGCTTAATTGAGAGTGTGTTTTGTTTGATCGTTATTTTCAACCGAATTATTTCTATAGTTATGAGAGGATTTGTGAACTCGTGAAGTTAGACTCGTTGCACAACAGGAGAACAATTCGTGAACTGACATACTTGTTTAAGATTGTAAATGGTATAATTGACTCCCCAGAGCTACTCAGCCACATCTATTTGCACGTCCCTCGTCAGTCTTGTAGACTTTATACTTTGTTTTACCCTATCGACTTTTATCATGCCGCACCCATAACACGCCTACAACTGACTTATAACCATTTAAAACAGATTTGTGCGAATGCTAGCCTTGATATATTTTATGAAAAGCGTAAATTTCGACAGTGTGTTGAGGCTATTGCTCTTTCCAAACGTTTCGCTTTTATCCTGTTTAGCGTTGTATTTCTGAAGGAATAAGTGCACCACTAAGGAGGCGTCAAGCGGTTGGTGGGTCACTGAAAACAAGAATAAACATAAACATAAACATAAACATATACATGTTACATTTTTAGTGTTTTATTATTACAACGATAGAATTTGTTGTCATTGACCGAAAACGTTGACCAAAAACCTGTGAGCAGCTACGCTAGGAATGAACTGAGAGACCTATATCTCGAGATTCTGCAAAATAAAAAAAGACAATAACAGCGCTAGAACAAGGGCGTAGGAAGGCGACACTTTCGGTGGCCATTCTACTCTCTCGACGGCTTTGATAATGCTTTTTTTTCTTCGCTATCCCAGTTAATAGTTTCGATAAGTTAGTTTTTAGAATGTCTTTTTATAATCATGTTTTGCTCATAAGAACTGAATCGGCGCTTGTAGCTAAAAAAAAAAATGAAACAATCAATCCACCATGAGCAGTCAGATTAAGAAACTTGACAGGGTTTTGTTTGCAAATACCTGAAATATCCAATGCCGCATTGCTTCAGAAAGAAAGCTTGGGCAGGTCACGGACATTTTGCCATTTAAAAATATCCAAGTATATCATTTAGAAAGTACCCTAGAATTCAACCCGATAAATGGTCTCTTCGTGTCGAAACCCCCGAAGTGGCCAGGGGGCGGAAATCAAGTTAGAAGAAGAAGCCGCCCTCGCGGCGTGACCACGAGCGCGATCATTCGAGTCCCGAGAGCCGAGCACCCGACGAGATCAGCGGTGCCCGACCGTGGAACAGCGCCGGGCAGCAGCATGGGCGACTCAGCGACGACCACGAAGAAGCCCGTGCTCGCCGAGCGGGTGCTGGGCACCGTGAAATGGTTCAACGTAAAGAACGGCTACGGCTTCATCAACCGCAACGACACGCGGGAAGACATCTTCGTCCACCAGACCGCCATCACGCGGAACAACCCGCAGAAGATCATGCGCAGCGTCGGCGAGGGGGAGACCGTCGAGTTCGACGTCGTCGTAGGCGAGAAGGGCCGCGAGGCCGCCAACGTGACAGGTCCCGACGGCGAGCCCGTGCAGGGCTCCCCTTACGCCGCGGACAGAAGACGCTTCAGAGGTCGCTGGTTCCCGAGACGGGGTCAACGCCGACCGATGCCCAACCCGCGTCGCGGTGTGCAGGACTCCGACGACTTCCACGACGTCGTGCTCGTGCCTGACTCGCCGCGGCCGCAACCGCCACCGCAGCGATGGTTTCCGCCTGGGAGACCCTTTCTACGCCGCTACTACCGCCGTCCAAGAGGTATGACCAGGAGCTCGCTACCCGCCGAAGACATGAGACCCCACTTCCAGTTTGAAGAGGAGGACGAATACGAGGACACCCGAGTCCAGCGGAGGCCATATCGACGCTTCTACGGGAGGTATTTCCGCAGGCGCGGCGGAAGGTCTAGGAGTGATTCAGAGTGGTTCGACATCGAGCAGGAGCCCAGGAACGCGCCGGGTTCGTGGCGCAAGCCGAGGCCTAGGCCGAGGTCGGCGTCGCCTTCGAGGGCGTCCGCCGGACGTGACCAGGAGTTGAGCAGCGAGCGCTCTTCGGCAGAAAGCGTTGGAAGCGCTCCGAAAAAAGACGGAAAAAAAGAAGAGCTCGCTGCGTCCGCGAAGGGAAGCGCTGATTCCAAGCATTCCTCGGAGAAGAAGGGAATTTGCGAGGAAAAGTCCCCGGTGCAGACCAAGGAGTCGGTCAGCCCTTTGTGAAGGAAGCCACCTTGCAGCGGCCGAATGGTTTCTACCACGATCTTGACTTGGGAAGTAAGAATGAACTCTCCTCTTCTGCTTGTCTTTTGACCCGCATTTCGTGCATATTTGGTCCGGCTACCGGTCGTGTCTTAGAGGTGCGAAAAATTGAGAGGAGGTTTCGCTTCAAGTGGATGTTCTGCGACGAGTGACTTGAGCGCGATGACTGGTATCTTAAAACGAGGACGTACCCTGAAAAAAATGGTAGAGTTTTCGTGTCATTTTTTTTTTCGTGGAATAAAGATTTCTTTAACGCAAATTGTGCGAAGGCTGTGTGCATATAAGCTTGAAAACAAGATTAAGTTGACCAGAGCCTCAACTACATTAACCCTCCTCGATATGTTTGTGGCAGCAAATATGCAACTAAATGTTGAAGGTAAAAATTAACTTATAGTGCGATTGAAGATGAGTGTGTTTAGCACTCGGGATAAAAGGTAGCGTCGTGTGAATACAACGTTTGCATTGATGTCATATCAGTTGCCTCTGTACTGGTCTTGCTCCTGAGCACTGTTTGCGCCACAAAATGTATTTTCTTTGACAAGAATGACTACAAGCATAGTTAGATGACACACCATGGAAGCCACATTTTAATCATTAGCTTTATTCAAAGCACTCTGTTGGCCATCAACGCAATTCGGTGAACGGGGGTGCAAGCTCATAGAGCAAAAGGGCGTCGCTGCCGTTTTAATGCAAAGTACTATGAAGTGCAGGTGGAGGGATTCACATTGGTCTAAAGATAATTACGTTTTATTTATAAGCTCCTTTACTCATGAAACAAGAAAGATACCGAAATACATTAGGCTCATAAATTAAACATACATCAACTCTACCTGCCTGTTCCTTGAAGAACCAGAAATGACGTCGAGTAGGAAAAAAAGAAGAAAACCCAGGTACGAAGCTATGCATTGACAGACCCTATAAGTTTCAATTTGGGTAGGGAGAAAGGAAAGAACGTAAAAAAACAAAGGGGCGAAGGAAAGCGTTGAGTAAAAGAATGCGTAGCACGAAGTAAACGCGTACGCTATCGAAGAGAAACGACCGCGCCAAATTGACGTCTCAAGCAAGGGGCGACTAGCGCACTAGCACTCGAGCTGCAAACGCGTCTTACCGCACACACAGACACACACAAAAAAAGTTATCAAACAAAAGAAGAACGCAAGAGAAAGTACGATCTAAAAGGCATGTTCTTCGAAGAGAGAAGCGGCGAGTCAGCTCGCGATGGAGGCGGAAGAAGCTGGGGAGGAGGGATCGAAGACTGCTGCTGCTGCTGCTGCGGCTGTGGCTGACGAATTGGCTGCCCGCTTCCTCCGATAGAGACACACGCTGTCGTGTTCCTTCCACGTGATGCCTGGGGACCCACCTGGAACCTCCAAGTTTTCCCCCATCTCTGCGAGTTTCGGGCGGCCGGATGAGAAGGGCGTTGTAATTTATCAGCTGTCCGATTCCAGCACGCGCTTGGCGGTGGGGGAAGCGTGGGTGACGCCGTGCTGCACGGTGATGGGAGGGACGCCGTCGCGTGTGCCGCGCTGCCTCTTTGAACGACGCGTTTTTGTCCGCTTCCTGTCAGGGCGGGACGGTGTGGGTCGGTGTTTGTTCCCGGACACGGCGGGAACTCAGGTGTGGGAAGATTGTTGTTCACCGCTTTTGTTCGCCTATGACGACGCACTTGTTCAAGGTTGCGGTATTGTTCGTCAAATAGGTGCGTTTCGAAGGTTACGCATGAGAGATGCCCGTGATGAAAAATAGTCCTGGACGTACGGGATTATGATTCCAGCGTGTTTCGTTCTTTGTACGCTTCCTATTGAACGAGTCCTTTCCAGAAATTTCCTTTTGTCGATTATGTTCCTATATTTTAATGCAAATTCAGCAGAACATTATGTTGCTTTCAGCGTTGCGCTTGCCCTCCATTGCATCTAATATATATTTTTATTATTATAGATATCAAGCAGATCACGACTGATTTGTAAAGGCTGTGTGTGCACCTGATAGTGCGCCACGCTCATTTTTTTAACTGTATTGTTTCGCTGGCACTCTTGCGTGAACAAAAAAAAAAAAATGCTTACGCAGTACTGCGGTGTGGTTTAGATAAATAAGCGTCTTATTCATATTTACATCTGCGCGCAACATTAGCCCGGAGGACAGCGAAGCTTTCATCCTGACTTAAAGCGAAGGAAACAATAACATGACAGTTTCATAGCCATGAAAGCTTCTTTTTTAACGGGCCTGCCAACCATTTTAGAACAAAAAGCCATACAAAAGCTTTGACTTCGCGGCTGTAACCTCCGCAGAGCTCCAGTCAGGGCATCGCTCAGGTGTTCGACGCAGACGAACGTTAGACGCGGACTGGCTTTGACGTCAAATGCTTTTTTTGGTTAGGTTACAGTGTTTTAGAGGGGGTTGTAGTGGCAAGAGCGGCGGCCACTTTGTGAAGATTTTGCGCGTAGACGACACTATGGCGCTGCTGTTCTGTGCCCTATAGAGTGCCTTCATACACACGCGCGCCTTTGCTAGGAGCGCGCCCCCGTCAGCCCCATCATCGGCGCTGTTCGGCGCTTACTACTGTGGTTTGACTGGAGCTTTTCGCGGTGCGAAACAACTGCTAATGATGTTCTGTATACTCTGTTTCACCTTATGATAACCCGCCCCCCCCCCCCCCCCCCTAGTACTGACACATCGTTCAGCAACGCTATCACTTGGGCTGCAGGCTTAATAGCTGCGAAAGAGGTTCTACGGTGCTACATTTCGGAGAAGCGTACCGCGTCACCCTCGTCGTCTTCTTCGTTCATCGCACACGTGCCATTAATTCTCCTAGGGCACAGAACTCCAGCGCCACTCGCGGTATCTACATCGACCGTCTTCACGCGCTTCATTGTAAGCGGGCGCCGCTCTTGCCACTACACCCTTTAGAACACTGTAGTTAGGTTAAGAGGGAATTCAACCACTATTTATTTGTACCCTTTTTCTTATAGGAGGTATTCACTGGACGCCATATTTGAGAGCGATGTTTAGAGGGCATGCTCAAAACGAGCTCACATTAATAGCATGCTAAGACCGACAACCTTGGTGGTGCTAAATGCACACTCCAAAAGGACTGCGGAAGCTCGCCGTCAGCACGCGCTCAGCAGCAGCGCACATACGAGTTGCATCTAGTGCCACTAAATAAGCTACGCTTCAGAGTAACGACACTTGGCCATATTGTGTCTTAAAATCATGGTTGCCAGTTATCTGAAGCTTTATCTGAAATCACAGGAAATGCTTTTCCGCCCTCCACAAATGTTTAAACCGTTCGCGACAGAGCAAAGCAATATTACATGACCTTCCTAACACCGAATTTAATTCTGAGGAAGTCGCACTTTTGAATCATGACGATCGGCAGTTGCGTCTGTTCTGCATACGAGCCAAAATGGCGGCGCCCACAACAATGACGGGGAACGGAGTGCCGATACTCTAAGCGCAGCTTATTTAGTGGCTCTAGTTGCATCCTCACAGCTGCGCATGCAGGTGTGGCGCTCGAGGTGGGCTTGGGCCACGGGCTGTTCGCCGCTGATCTCGAGCTAGATCTTCGCTCTGCGTCCGCCGCTGCCGGAAGCGGCCAACGGGCGGCGCGATATACGAGCCAGCACATGCGTAGATTATAGTGACTTACATAACGTAGAATAAGCTCTGATTTCCGAATCGATTCGAATTTACAACCACGTTCGAATTTATCAAAAAAGCAAGGTGCGGTGTTGCGGCCGTTTAAACCATAGAGTTATTATAATGTACGCTAGAGGTTAAACTGGCGCCGGTGTGCTGCTGCAAATTGAAGCACACAGCAACCAGTCCGAAATTGACTTCCGGTAATGCAGTTCTATGGGAAAAAGCGAGTGCATTTTCTCTCTGCACTTGATTATGAGAGCAAATATCACGAATAATTTGTACGTACAAGGCACATTGGAACATTTCTCAGTCACGCAGACGAAATAATTGGTCAGTTACAGCATTTTTATTTGAAATTCGTGGCATGAAAAACGGTGCTAAAACCGCTTCTTACGTGTATTTATTTGCACTGTCGGACACTGTTAGCTCGAACACGGCGTTGACGCTTTCCAGCATGGGGGATATACGTGCCAAACGAACGAAGGACACGTGGAAAACCAAGAGAGACGGCAAGAACTACGCAGTAACACTGGATAAGTAACTCCTTATGCATGCAGACGATCAAACTAAATTGAAAGCCACGTAATATACTAGTAGTCAGATATGCAATAAATAAGTACTGCTTTATTCTTTCTGCTCGTGAATATGTGCGAAGATGCTTGTTCTGCGTTCAAATCATCAGCCGCACGCTTCGAATCTTTGCAAATAAGGGGAAGCAGAGAACAGGAGCCCGATTAAAACTGTCCGACATAGGAAATAATGAAAAGACACACTTTTCGTAGCCCACATACTTTATTTTTTATTTTTAACAGATCGTCAAAATGCACGACGGAGTCATTTTCATATAGTGAGTGACAGAACGGGCATATTAGCAATATATAAGCGCCAACAGAATGCTAGCAAACCTTGAACGCACTCTACATTCCTTTCGATTGTTATTTTGTTTAGAATCGTCGCTCATTTTTGCATACCTGCCATGGAACAGAGGTTTGGGCCTGAAAATATAGCGAAGTTTATCATCGTTCAGTAGTAAAGAAAAATTCTGTAACTAAAGCAATTACACATTCACCATATCAATAAAGGCACATACTATCCGGTACAACTGAAATAAGAAAAGTTATTCGTGTTATTTTCCGGCGAAGAGACAAAATTCACGCGCGTTTTCCCATAGGAATACACAGGAAGACTGGAAAAGTAGACTGGTTGCTGTCTGCTTCAATTTACGTCACGGAAGTCGCATAGAGAATAGCGCCAGTTCAACCTCTAGCGTACATTATAATAACTCTATTGTTTAAACCACCAGATTTTGCACGCAAACGTTG